AAAAAAAAAAAAAAAATTAAAAAAAAAAAAAAAAAAAAAAGAAGGAAGAAGCTTGAGATTAATTTTTCCCTCCAAGATTGACAATTTAAGAAGTGGCCATTTCCCTTTTCTAGTAGCTTTAGCTGTTTTGAAACTCCTTGAAGTCACTGAAATCTATTACTTGCATATACAAACCTCCTTACTGCTGTGTTTAAAGCAAAATGCTAAATCTTTAGCAACTTATAATATCCTGTGGTCAAAGACCCTAGTAAAAAGATCCATAACAGCCCTGCAATGAAATAGGGTAGCTTAGAAGTGCAAATGGAGAAAAAACACCTCACCAAACCCAAAATGAAACAACACAACAAAAACCCCACCCTCACCCTTTCCCAACCAGGATTTTAAATTTTATAGTGAACTATTTTTTATAACAAGTTTTAGAAAAAAAATATCAGGATTTGGATGCTCCTAGTTGAAATTTAGTCCAAATTGCTTTTCATAAAATTGCTGTGAGAAGTTAGGCCTCCTAATAAGGAAGCGCTTACCTTAAGGCACACTGTATCCCAGTTTCATCACCATATGCTGAGTACAGGAGTTCCATTTCATCTGATTTCAAATCATGAAATATAGAGTTGTTTTGCATGGAAGGTGCTGTACTAGCACTTGTAAGAAAGGTTACTGGGCAGACAGAAGAAAGAGATGACAAATGATGAAAAAGATCACTTAGGGGTGGAGAAAGAAATAAAAAAATATTCGCCTTCTGAAACAGATACAGGAAGTGCAGTGTGTTCTTCCCCTCCAACTGAAATCAAGAGCATTACCTCAATGACAATTCCAAACTCTAGAGTCAGTGCAACTATTTTAACCATACAAATAAATGTACTTACACTGCTAGAAAATAAAGAACCAAGTTGACCACCCTAACGTCACAAAAAACCGATTCATCACTCTGCTCCCTTTTATATTTCTGCCTTTTTTCACATGTCTACTTCACTGTTGTTTGCCAGTGAGTTTTTGGAGAGCAGATTAGAAACTATTAAAAATGTCAGTAATACTAGAAAAAAACCCATCCAGTTTGTGAAATCCTTGTCATATGATACAAAACTGCAAATGACCAAAAGGATTTTTTCTGAACTCTAAGCACAGCTGCTCAGGAAAACTTATTTCCTCCAGAAAAAGGGCAGTACCACTACTGGAAAGCTTCTAGCGTGGCTAAAACACTAAATTAAAAAACATTAATCCATAAACTCCTAAATAAGTTATGTTTAAGCAAAAAAGTCCATTTACTTAAAACTGCATTCTGCTGTAAATGGAATAATTACATATTATAAAAATAACCAAGTGAACTTTCATTTGGAGACAGGTATAATCTGAAATTATTGTATATCAAGAAATTGCTCAGTTAACACAAAGTTAAAACATGCTCTTTGGCATTTACCTTTATTTCTTCGCTCATCTTTAAAGCCCAGTGTAGTGAAGCCAGGTAATAATTTGCTTGACAATGAACTCAGATCCACTGGGTGAGTCTCTTCCTCTAATAATTTGATTTTAAAGAAGATAATTTTTAGAAGAGCATTTCATGTTTAAACTTTATTTACGTTAAATATTTAGACTTTTCTATTTTAAAAAGTTAACATAAAGGCTAAATGTTTTTTAATCTGTACCTTTTTGTAAAGAACAGGTAGTGTAATTCAGGTTCTCCACATTTAAATTTCAAATACACACTGTAAATACGTTTCCATCTCTTATTCACATCTATGGCTTACTCAGTTATTTCACTTTCAAAGTATACAACAACTGTTGTATACAAAAGAAACCGTTCTTCGAGCTAATTCATAAACATTCAAGATCCAGATACTGTGAAGTGATAAAAGCCATTTCTTATGTTGACTAAATGGTAGTAGCTAGCTGTCTGTAGAAACACAGACATCATGTAAAGAACTTTATTAAGATAATTACTGTTATGGCTACAGCAATATTTCTTGCTTCTAAAGTTCTGAGAATCGCTTAATTAAAATGGCTCAAATAATTTAGAATATGCTTTTAAACTCAAAAAATACTAACAACGTTTAGGACACCCAGTTACTTTAAATCTCTCTGGCTGTTATGGAATCTAATGACAATTATGCTCAATTACTGAACAAGAGAAAGCAAGTTTATGCCTAGAACCTTACTAGGATAAAAAACCCCAAAATAACTACAACAAAAATTCAGTTTATAGTATTAGCTGGAAATTCAGTGTAACTAATGTTAACTATACAAACAAAAAAGACTCTGGAGCACAGAAACATCAGGAAGCAGTACAGTACAGCACACAGAGAAAGTTTGCTCTGCTCGAATTACCATCACCGTACAAATTTTCAATGGCATGATTTCAGAGGTATTAAATCACATTCATTTTATTTTTTTTTTTTTCAGAAATAGGTATGGGCATGCTAGCAGCCAAAGTGCTCAATTTCAGTGCAGAAAAATTTTCTACTAAATGAAAAGGAATTTAGACAGTAACAGAATTACAGGATTGTACCTCCCAATGAAAAAAATCAACAGAAATGTGACTAATCAAAAGGGTTCATGCCTTCATCAATGCAACAATAGGTAAGCTGCGAATGAGTGTTCAAAAAGTCTAGAGAAGGAAGTGCTAAATCCGTATGACATAGAGCAGCATAAAGACTGTGACATTTCATTCATTACAAACTTTCAGAAGTTCTACATTTTGAGCTCAAAACTAAAAGTGGAAAGCGTAAGACAATATAAACAATGTACAGCAGTAACACAAACAAAAACTCACAGAAAAGATCAAGGAACTGAAGAAAAACTATTAGCAAAACCTAATTAAAACTGAAATTTAGCTAATAATTTAAATTAGGATATTAAAAAAAGGTAAAAGATGATTCTGTATTTGCAGCTGTGCATTGGACATTTACATAGGACTACAGCATCTTCATTCACCTTTTGTCTATTAGGTTTTAACACTATGTGGTACCTGGAGCAAAAGCCCGTCTTCCAAGTTATCTGTAAAATTTAAGCACGTATACTTTGCTATGAAAAAGGTATCTTTTACCTTCTTACTGTTAGCATCAATAAAACAGAGCATCTGAAGAGTAAAAATATGAAAGGCAAAAGAGAAACATCTTATATTGGAGATATTAAATACAGCTGTTGGGGAAAATGGTTTGGAGAATAATTTAAAAAAACCCCTCATCTATACTACTACACAGCATCTGTATGTACAACTAAGACTTCAAAATCTGCTATAACACTCAAAATTAGAAATGTTTGCTTGAAAGATTATGGCATTTACCTTCTGCTTCTGGATCAGATGAGTTTACTACACTAAATAATAAAGTTCCATCTCCATTTTTTTTCAGATAACCGATCTGTAAATAGAACCACAAAGATACAGAAGAAATAATTCAAAACAGTTCAAACTCAAAGGAGTTGCTTGCTTACAGAGAGAATTATAAAAAACATTTCAGCTTTATTCAGATCCTGCAATCTGTTATTCCCTTTTTAATACAGAGAATCTTGGGTCACAACTATTATCACTGCCTTAGAATATGCTTCAGAAGAGAAGACTTAGGAGCAAAAGTTCATATATACAACTCCTTATTCATCTTCCTAAATCTGATCTAAAGTTTGAATCCAAGACAAAATCAATTCAATTATAATTAGTATGGAGCCAGGCTTTCTGACTGCCACGACTAGAATGTACTTTCTTTTTAGAAGCAAAACTTGTCACTCCTATCCACAATCTAGCTCGCTGTTTATTTTCAAATCTAGATTGAACTGCTTGTTTTAATCTCACTCACAACCTTCTCTAACTAGACATACTTTTATGAACACACTACCAGATTCTTCAAGAGGAAGAAGTGCTGTGACAGACCTATCAGAGCACACAAACACAATGCTAAGAAGACAGCAGAGATGTGAAAGACAAGAGAATGCACTGGGGACTCTAAAGATAGAGCCAGAACCAATGCAACAAACTAAGCTGATGTCAGAAATTGTCTACACATGAATCGTGTAAAAAACACTGTATCTTCTCAGTAAAGATGGAAAATGAAAACTACGCTCTCCCTGAAGAACTATTAGTAAATACTTCCAAGTAAATTGCACAATAAATATCTCCCCTTTGGGTTTTTTTGCCTCCCTCTTAAAAAGTTTAAAACTCTCTCCACACATAAGGCCAAAGCTAATGTTGGCATATAATAAAAAGAAAGAGGTGACAAATGCTGGAAAGAGAATGAACAGGAACAATACCTTCAAGCAATGGCAAAAGTTAACAGCTGAACTCTAAGAACATGTCAATCTTACCTAGATTCAGTGGGATCTGCAGTGGGTTTTCTAGCTGATTAACAGCCTAGACAATTAAGAGCTGCACACTTAAAACAACTCTTTCCTGAACACTGCCAAACTGACTGCGCCAACATGAAAGGCCTTTCCTGTAAAGCTAGCAATTAGAAGAAGACTGGTATTGCTTCAAAGCGTTTTTAAAAAGCCACTCCTTGGAGGTTTCAAATAGCCTTCTATCCTACCAAGTCTAATTATGCAAAGAAATATGCTGAAGAAGCTAAACCTTCTCCCATTGTTCTTTGAGGCTTTACTTCCTAATCCAGTTGAGCCTAAGGTGACTGCATAACAAGGGCCATTGTCCAAGAAACATACATTTAAGTTTGAAGAAACAACTGTTACCACCAATGCTTCAAAGCAAATGCTTATTCTGCAACAGCTGTTAAAAAAAATAGGTGGAAAATGCAGGGTGCAGCAACATCTTGATACTTTTTTCAAGTGCAGTGGTCACTAGAGTATGTGACAATGAGAAATGAAGACAAAGTATAATGGTGGTAATAAGAGTCCACATGACATGAGGGAAACAGAGTAAACATATGTCAACATAGGTCTGTAGCAAATGCCCGTAGCATTCACTCCAACTGTAGCATGAGGTAATGAAAGAACCCACCATTATCACACAGCTAAGAAAAACAGCCCACAAATGGATCGTGGCTGAGAAAACTCCACTAACAGTATCACCAAGCTTTTCCTTCTAACCCTTTGAACAGCACAAAACCCAAACACATGGATCAGAATCACATTCAAGACGATCAAACCTGTGGTTAGCACTGTCCAGAATTCCAAGATGGACAAACTACTGCCATCTGCTCAGAGTTACTGAAGGACATCTGCATTTTGTACTCACAAGGATGTGCTTTAGCTGACAAATACTACTTGTAGGTACAAAACTACAAGAGGTTCTGGACTTCTCATTGAAAAAGAGTAATTTAACACTTAAAAATCCCTGAATTCCTTAGGCTGGGTGGGAAAACCTAATAACCCTTCAACCTATACAAAGTTTGCTTTTTCTGAGGATGCAACAACAGGAAGAGCGTTATGCTATTTTAATCACTTTCAATGCTAAGGGCTGCAATTAAGGAAGCCAGATTCAAGACTGAGCAACATTTCACTGTTTTCTGCAAGTGAATTTCTAAAGATGTTCAACACACGATACATCTTGAGATCCATTTAGGACACCCTACAATGGGCTTCAGTGGGAACTAAATGATAGACAGCAGTCGTACTGGTATTCCACACAGAGCACACATCCTAGATGGTACAGTCTTAGAAACTGTAATACTAAAGCCTGTTTCCTAAGAGAAAATGAAACATTCTGTAGTCAGACACAAAATGAAATTGTGAATTTTGTTGTGCAGTAGACCTTGCTGTTGGGTAGATATCGATTGATCCTATCCCGAGCTTCATCTGCTGCATGTTCCACTAGTGCCAGGACATGTTCTTCAGCAGTGCTATCTGTCAGGCTGCACGCATTTCCCTCAGGTTCAAATATGCAACTAAGAAAGAGAAGAGGACTAGCTGTAGATATTAAAAGCTAAAACAAAACAAAGGTCTGAATTCTGAGTTTGCTAAATAGAACAATCAGTCCCACTCCTCTCCCAGTGTCTGTCTACTTCAGCATTTAAGTGGTATTATAATCATATTATGAAACTGAAGTTTTACAGCAGAAGCTGAGAACTACCAAACTACTGAACTTCAAAAATGTGCTTCTGTAGCTTCATGAAAATAAAGGAAATATTACAAAACAGAGATTGGGAGTAAAATTGCATTAATACAGGGTGAATGCTGTATGTGTCCTTAAGTCTCCCACATGCACAAATGTGCTATTTTCACAAATTCCAAATAGAAAAATGCAGAAAAGAAATTACATGATGAGGGAATGGAGACTGTAACTCTTAATCTGAGAAAAAAACCCCAAACCAAACACTGCAGCAGGCTGCATTTATGAGGATTATGTCATTTAGTTGCTTGTAAAAGTAGGACACTGCTCCCAATCTAACAGGGAGTCCATTAATTCCTGTTTTTAATATTGGCAATTAGTGTTCCTAATCAGTATCAATCACACCATTCCTTCTCATTGAAATTAAACATTTATCTTTCAGTAGATCCCTTTTCATCGAAATAGTGAAAAAACAACAAATAAGCATACCTAAGATGGAACAGGACATATCTTAGCTATTATATAAAATCAGAGAATGGTAGTATTATAAAGAGAAGTGTGAAGGTATCAGTAGGGTATGGCAGTCTTCATTACATTATATATTTAAAATAAACTTTGTACATCAAAATCTTTCAGGGCATTATATGGACATTAGACACTAGGGCCAAACACCTTAGGTACTGGGTAGAGCATCTCCTCACACCAAATCCATTTCTCTCTCCTGGGGTATCTTCTTCCATTTGCTTAGCTAAGAATTTCTCTCTGTATAGAGATTCAGATCCGATACACAAGAAAGTTTTGCTATTAAAGACAATAAAAAGATCACAGGATCATACTATTATGAGACACATGTGTTACATGATTTTTGTTTCATTGAAAGTTTAAGAAAGGGTGTACACAGCAGGAAACTCCTCAACTTTCTATCACACTCTACAGAATACTTAATGGACAAGAATTTTGAGAGAATTTTCAGAAACTTGCAACATCCTGAACAAAATTTTCAAAAACTACTTAAATATTAGGATGTTCAAGTGATCAAGTTACTTTTTCAACTGCGGTATAGAGGTCTAAGCTGCTTTAACACTTTGCAAACATTGACTTCAGCTTTCTCTGTTTTTAACTTTGAAATATGAAGGCAAAACCATCTGCTATTGGATTCAATTCTCCCCCCAAAGCTCTCATTGTACATGAAAAATAATATCTATCCAACTGATGACAAAATACAAGGGTTTAAAAGGTCAAGTTAACTAAAAAAACCCAACAAAATAATTCCAACTACTTAAATTACATAAACATTGAAAAGAACAGGAAAGTAAATTTATACCACAACTGACTGCAAGGAAACTGGTATCAGGATAAAATTAAAGGTCAGTTATTTTTAACTATCTGAACTGCATGTTAAGGTAGATATTAGAGACAAAGCAGTACTATATTGCTTGGCTGTCTCGATTTCTTGCTCTGTTAGCTACCTGTATTTGAAGATGAACACTCAAAAAGTGGCAAAGTATGAAGTTACTCCTGTAATGGAGTTTGTGTAAGAATTCATCAGAAAAGAAAAAATCTATTTTTCTGAGCACCAAATCATCCTTTAAAAAACACAACCAAACAAAATCCAAACCAATTCCCCCTCAATCAAGTCTTGTTTATATAAAAGTACTTTCAGTTAATTCCTATACACAATCCCTTTAACAAAGGGTAAATTACACTTTGATAATTCTCCATGATAAAGCAACAGGTATGTTTCTGTATGCTGACATTAGAACAGTTCCAGCCAAAAAAATTTACTCAGTTAAAAATTATTAAAACATGTGGCTGAAGTTCACTTTTAGCAAAAATGAGAGAGCATGAAGTCAGTCACATTTCACTTTTTTTTTTTTTTTACTTTGAATGTTTAAGAAAGAAGCTTGCAGGAACATATCTACGTGATCAGATTATTTAAGGGATGACTAGTAATGCTCTCTTGCAGTTTTATTTTCATAAAATTCCCATTGATAAAGCTCTACAATTAAATTTCAACATCTATCCTAGGATGTCTATGTAAGAACAGTGAACAACGTAATTTGCTTGTAAACCAGTTTCTGCTAAAATCTCTTCATAAAATAGAAAATAAGACCCTTTAATTTGACTGAAATTAGATTTAAGCCATAAAAACACAACTATGGGACATGGGGGTACCTATTAGCTGGAAGATAGCTATTGTGCTAGCAATGTACTTCACAAAGAAGCTTAGTATGATTTCATTGGGAAAAAGTTATAATCTGCTCCAGAAATAATCTCCTGCACCTCTATATCCTGCCTGATAAGAGTAAAGTTAAATAATTGACTGATCTGGGGCCACTTTTCCCTCCCAGAAAGATCTTGTTTAGATTTTTATATAGTATATCATTTTAGGGAAAAAAATAAAATTAAAAAAAGACAAAATGTGAAAGGTATTTGCGGCTATGTTAAAAATGAAAGAACATTTCAAACCATCATGAGAAGAAACTAGTCATTATTTAAAAGAGATATAAATAAGGATAAAAATATCTATATATACATTTAAGAGTAAATGTTTAAAAGAATATGCAGTCATTCTTTCAATTGTTTGTTTCAAGTTGGGACTCCCCGGGTTATCAAACTAGTTCTATAAATAAACAAACAGTATTGCCCATTTATCCTATGGACCACAAGGAGAAAGGCTGAAACGAGTTTTTTTCCTCAATTTTTTGCTGCTGTCTAGTATTATAAAAGCTGCAACAAACCAGTAAGCATGCCCATTAAAACCTTTACCTAATAACTTCTTTATTTTGCTTTTTGGATTTCTTGGTAGTCTCTGCTTGTACAGGAACAACTTCAGGGACAGGTTCCTCAACTGCTGTGTCTTCATCACCCAAAAGAGCTGCCTGCTGAGAAAAATCCATGTCCTGCATAAACGACATGCTGCGCTTCAAAGCTAACAGCCGTTCCTAGAATCAGAAAGGACAGAGCGGCAGGGACTTAACCTTTCCCTCATAGCCAAGATGCTATGATAATGGGATGGGATGGGAATGGCCATGGCCTTATTTTGTTCTTAATGCCTCGTTTCCAATGGCGATGCAACATGATTTGGTCATGGTAGCATGGCATCAGAATTTCTGCAGCCCAACTATCAAGAGAGAAACAAACAAAAAAAAAACTGCATATGCAAAGACAACTGCCTATTTTACATAAAACTTACCATAACTGCAACACACACACACACACACACACAGCAGCCTCACCAAAATGACTTCCATTTTACAAGCCCACAACTGTATTCGAGTAAAAACTGTGTTTGCACGCGCGCCTCTGTGAAACCCCTGAAACCTCCCCTACACCCACCACCTTCAAAAAAGAAAACAACTTCCTTGCTTATACAAAATAAAACTTGAATGAGATCTCATTTGCAAAGTTTCAGGCAAAAGCAGTGCTTTACAGTTAGGTTTTATATATGTGGATCTTAATTGTTTCCACTGATGCCACTGAAAGAAGCTCCTACAAACTTCAGTGGTGCAGGTGAGGTTCAGAAATAATGGTGTGGTTTTAACAAGAATGCTATCAAGCCCTTAAATATGGCAGCACTAATAGGCACTGCTAATAGGCACTGCTGTAATTGGATGAAACATTTAACATTGTTATCAGTTATGTTCCTTCTAAGTACGACAAAAAAAAAGTTTCTGCTTTTTGTTTTAATAGGTCTCTTACTTTGCTCATCATCTTAAAGCCTGTGTGCAGTATCTTCTTGGCTAGTTTGTAGTAAACAGTATCTGGTCTGTTGTAAGTCATTGCATTATCACACATCAGTTTAAAATCTGCCTGTAAAATACAAAACAAAAGAACAGTTAAAATTTTTAACTCCTTTGTTAAATGACTGGAAGATACCATTTCATCATGCCAGCTCTGTGAAGAACACAGTAATATTTTAGCAGCAAGTTTATGAGTAAATGCAAGCCAAAATGTAACACAGAATAGCAAAGGTTCATCCCTTTTTGCTTTTTCAAGATGCTCAGATTTGTTTGGAATTGGCTTTTCTGTTATTAAACAAACAGAAGAAATGGAGAAATTGACAGGACTGAAGCACCACATTAAGTACTTTTTGGTGGCTTTCCCACCTCCTAAATCAGAGTAGACTTGAGAAATACAATGACATCAGGAAGACAGAATGTGTAATACATATAATTTTAATCTTAATAATTTGACTTCTGGAGTTACTTGCACTAAAGCAAAGAAAAAAAAAAAAAAGAAAACTTCAGAGCATAAGAAACAGCCTTCTAGATGCTCATCCCATGCAACAAAAGAACAAAGCAGCCAAGCCTGATTTTGTATTCTCTTTTGAATGGTTATCTGTCATACATAATTTCATGTACTTTGTACTGATGGAAGTTCCCAAAACAAAGGTGCAACACCCTCCATTGCAAATAGAACAAAAAAAAATTGTTGCAGATTGCAAAAGCTTTTTCTAGTCGCATTCTACTGATCTGTAGAATAAAGCACGAAAAGCATTATTGAAAAGCTCTATGAAACACTGATTTAAAAAGACATTATATGCCTCTGAAAATTTCTAAAGTTGGCAAATCAATAACCAAGAATCATGCAGTATTTCCAGACAATTCACAAATTGGATCCTAACAAATTAAACTGGTGCTTGATTTAAGACTATATTTTTATCTCTTAACTTCTCAATATTTAAACCATGATTGTTCAAGCAATTAGGTTTCATTTATTCTGTAGACACAAATGTGAATTTTTTTTTGTGCATGAGTCCACTATATTTGATGATGACTTCATTATGTGCAGTAGCGTATGCAAACATATTAGCATGCCTTTTGAAAAGGTAACCCGTTGATAATTGGGTTTGGACACAGTTGACAATTGGGATTGGACACAGAAGTTTTTCTAGACTTTCCCTAGCACCCAACATTTACACAAAATAACCTTGCCTTACTGCAATCCTGATCAGATTCTGTAAAAACAAAAAATTATTTTAGTTCCTGTTTCCATACAGGAATGTCAAAGCAGTGCTCTCCACTCTCCTAATCATCCAGTAGTTATCATCAAGCCCATACTAAGCAAGTTGGTGAACAGCGATACAACAGGTAGTCTGTGACACTCTACAGCATTTAAGCCATCTGCCTTCACTTAATGAGACCATCACAAAAACAGAAATTGGGAAGGTGACATGGAGGAGCAAACTATGAGCCAAGAAGCAGATAAAGAATCCCATGTGAGCTATACATCTAGCTATAGCCTTTGAAGTACCACAGAAAAGGACAGAGAAGAGTCTTCTGCTTGCCCAACTCTGAAGTAAACCTTTTTTTCAGCAGCAAAACTGATGAGCTTTGTGCAGCAATTTCCCTTCTAAATTCAGCAAATGGTTCTTCCAGATTCTACTCTGAGATGGATTATTTATTGGCTTGTGACTAGCCTCAGCTAGCTGTAATAGGTATGTCAGAAACAAAAGATAACCCTTTGAGAAGGCCTTGTTTTAGAGGTCAAAAACCTATGAACAATTTCTGTATTACACAGAATTACAAAGGTATAAGCATAATTAGGTACGCTCATACCTCTAGAAAGGCAGTTCAATCTCTGTCACTTTAAGATGGACAGACTTCTAACAACCATTTACTGCTCCTCAGAGTATCAGCAGAAACCAAGTCCTTCAGAAAAGAATCTGTCAGTCTAAGCAATACTGCGATTTTCATTTTTTGTAGGTTGCTATCCCACGTTTCATTACTGCAACCTTGCCTGTAACTAAATAGAGCCACAGAGCTCCCATTCAAACTTCCTTTTTAAGCTGCCAAATAAGACAATCCAGCAAGCCAAGAGAATTTAGAGACCTGAAGGCATTGCTGACGGCAATGCTATTATAAATCCTTCTTTACTATTTTCTGTAAATCTCTATACTTTTTTTGAAAAATAAATCATCCATCTTTGTCAAAGCAACTATAAGAAATACAAGACAATTCTCTGCTTACCTTGTTAGACCTTTCAAAAGAAGAAATTAACCCTGAGAGGCAAGCCAAGTGCTCTCTGCCAAGTCTATATATCAACACCACTCTAAAAACCAGTAATACTGAAGGCGGCTAATAGAACTTTATTAATCAGTTAAAGAAAACTCCTTTCTTTCCAGGAACTGGCAATATCGTGAAAAGATTTCTTATTGTACTGTCTGTAAAGCCACAGTGCATCCAATAAAGTATTACAGCAACAGGCAAAACAGCTACTGTAAGTTGCCAATAAACTTGGCAATTTCCTGCCAAAACATCATTGCAAATGAAGTTACACAGAAAACAGGATAAAGACAAAAAGTTTGTAGTTATTGAATCTTAGACAAAATGCTTCAGTATATCCAGTTTTCTTGCAGATTGCCTTTTAATCAATCTAATCAGGTCTAGATAAAAAAAGACGACCTCCAGTTTCTTCAACCACTTAAGTCTTTTTGATACTCTTACTCATGTTTATGTCTAGCAGCATGAATTCCACAGAACTTTAGAGCACGTTCTCAGTTTCCACAGCAATTTCTAGTAGAATCTCACAAATGTATAGCTTCCACAGTAAAAAACAAAGCAAGAAACCCATTCTAACATACAGAATACACAAAGTGCTTAGTTTTGAAAAAAACCCGCACATTAAAATAATTAATGTGAGAAAGACTCCTATAGTTAAAACAGAATCTGCCTTCTCTTACTGATGAGTTCTGAAATAACTAAATCTCTATCAATTCACCTTGAATTCAGTGACTGATTTGTATTCATTCGCTGCAATTTTTTCCTTCATTGTACCAAAATCCATAGGGTGCTTTATTATCATGGAATACCCAGGAGCAATGGCATCCGTGACTGGAAAAGCAAAAAACCCATGAGGATCTTTCCTAAAAATAAAAACAATACATTTAGTTTTATATCAGCAAACAAAATTATCATTTCTTTAGTACTACATTATTGGTATGAAAAGAATAGTACTACTTAAAAAAACAAACACTAAAACAACTCTTGTAAAACAGAAGCGTACTTGAAAAATTTCCTGATACAGGAGAAAATTTTGATTACACATATGTAGACTATTTACACTCCAAATGGGCCTTTTTGGCTTCACTGAGTAATAACCTCTACAACTCTTCTTGATCACGAAGTCCTCTAAAAATAACTAGTGTTTAGTATTTTTAGTTCTAAATTCAGCTTATTGTTATGCAATAAAAAAAAAGAAGATTAAATATTTTGTTTGGGGTTCTTTTGGGTTTTGTTTAAGAATATGAGGGTTAACAACTTATGGAAAACAATAAAATAAAAAGCCTCTTCAAATTAAAGAGGATTATCAAGTGAGAAGGTATAAACTTGCTTTGGTATCTGACAGAGGACACAAACTAAAACAAAATTTCAAGAGAACAGTTCAACCATTTAAGCTATTTAGATTCCTCTTTTTTAATTGCTAAACTAAGTCACTAATATTTGATAAATTCGTACTGGCAGTGTATCCTCTGTCCAAAACACTTCCCTGCCAAAAGCTAGAATAGCATAGTTGGTAATAACATTCCTCAACTAATATTTAAAAACTACCAGGTCTGACACGGTTGCAAAGGTTACCAAACATATTACAGTCAGTCTCGAGGAACTTTTTTCAAACTGAAAACTAGGATAAGAAGTTGTAAGGTAACATATAAATATGCATTAGACACCATTGACACGGCTGTAGACACGGTACGCTTAATACCTTTGAAGCTGGCGAAGGAAGTGTTCTAGTAATTGCTGGATAGGTGTGCTCTCATTTTCAGCTGCAGTTTGAGACAGAATCACGGGTAAGTACAATGAAACAGAATAAAGGTATATTTATTTTTAAAAAGCAAATACCAGAGAGAACATCTTAACTACAAATACAGCTTGTACCAATCTGAAGGCCAATAAGACATGGATGTCAAAGCAGAAGCACATCAGATTTCTAAGCATACAGTAACTACTTCTTCTATTACTTACTGAGCTTTAATTACATTAAAAACTAGTAGATAAATGAGATGTAATGGTAAGTCTAGTAGTTGTAAGAAAATGTATTAGTAACGTGAAAGTCAGGTGTTAAATATTTTTACAGGAAAAGTGAAACTTGGCTCCTCAAATACTGCATTTGGGAAATCCACATTCTCACAACATGTTATCTGTACAATTTTAATGGTTTCTGCACCATAATACCCATGCAATTGGCTTCTATGAATATTTTCAGTCAAAGAGAGTGTCAAATAGATGCAGACTTGCTGGCAAGAGGGGCACTGATTACAATTTCACTTCCTGTACTGATTAAACAAGAAACACTATGCATCAATTACCTGTTCCATGCACATACTTCAGACAGACTAATGAAGTTTGAAAAACTAAAGAAGCAGCATGATGAAATCTAGAATTAAAATTCCAACTCTTCATCATAATGGAGAGACATTTCCCCTCCTTACCAGAATAGGTAAGAACAACTTATATCCTTTTGAACAACATTTTCCAAGCATATGAAAACAGATGCCTTGTCAATACAGACATCAGTTTTTAGTTCGTCAGTTTTTCAAAGCTCCTGGCTATCCAGAGACATAGAGCTTCAAACAGAAGACTTCAGTTACCCCTATTAGGTCACCTTGACAGCTGATGGACACCACGACTCAATTTAATCTGTGGTCATAATTAGAAAATTCCTCAATAAATTACTTGACCAGTCAACAGGCAGCATTTCAAAGACAAGACTCAAAATAGTACTAAAGACCCAATTTTTTGCCACTAAGTTCCATTTCCAGGCCTATGTGTACTGTGATCATGATGTATATGAAGATTCTTCTAAGTAAAAGTTTCCACAGGATAATGTTGAGTTGTAACTATCAAGCAATGGCTACAGGTGGAGAAAGCATGGCAAAATCTGAACAGATTAAAAATGCAGAAGTTACCACACACAACTGATAAGTGATGGTGATGAGAATTAAAGACTGGGAAATGAAAACTGCAGGGACTAAGGTCTTTAGAGACACTCTTCCATAACTTATTGACATACTTTTGATGAAAATAGATACTAAAATTAAAACTCCACATAAGTTATAAAAAAAGACCAGAATAACAGCTAAGCAGTCTCCACAAGATATCTTTGCCTTGAACTAAGGAAAATTTAGTTTCAGATGTTCTGACCATTGTTCTGTAAATGCTGAGGAAATGTTAAGGAGAAAGAATAAGGGAACACTATGCACAGTAACACTTTCATACTAGCTTTATTCTGCCAAGTAACAGGAGTCAGAGACAGGTGTCCTTATCAAGTTCAGTCACATGAAAACAAAGCTACTAAAATCCAAAGGCAGTAAGAGGAATACTGTTTTTTCAGGCAGCAAAAAGTTCTGAATGTTGAAAAAAATAAAGTCTCTAGATTTCAGCAAATCCTCATGGAAATTTTACACCTTGGTACCTTTGATAAAAGCTTTACTGTTCATGCTTTTAAAAACATCCAAGATGATTTAGTTTTTCACACTGCTCACCTGGCTGAGTTCTGCATGCTCTGACAGGACGATCTGGAGGAGGTTCAACCTCCACTTTTTTCCCAGGGTCAAAGTCATCAGTTTCTCCTTCAGTGTCACACTGCTCTTTCTCCCTTTTCCTCTTTTTCTCTTCCTAACACAGGAGGAAGACAACAAAATTTAGAAGAATGTATATAATCTATCATTAGTTACTGTACTTTTACTGAAAAGAATGTTAAAACTCTGAAGCTATTTATATGTAAAACTGCATGATAATAAACTACATCAAAGAGTAAAGGAAGTTAATTTGCTATTCAGTAAAGATCAGTCTGCAGCTCTGGTTTGATCAACGTGTTTTTGTTGTCTGGTGCATTGAACAGGAATCAATACAGTACATGGTAATTTAGGAAGCCTACAGAAGAACCATAAGGAATGCTCCGTAAGAATGGTGGCAATTAATGGTCTCTTCCTGAGCTTCAAAGCAAAGGCATATCTGAGTCATTCCTATAATTTTACAGTCATTATTCAGGTTTCATAGAAAAGGACACGTGCATTAAGCTTGTTTAGACTACAGTTATGTTACTTATCTACCCATTAGATTTACCAAAAAAAAAAAATAAAAATCAAAACACCCCTCCATTTAGCAAAGGCAAAGGAAATAATTTGATTTGATGCTGCAAGATCTTGTATTACAGACAGTTGTTTTGCTGCATTTCAAGTCGCAGCCATACTCTCAACTGAGACACTGGAAATGTTTGTACAAAGAAAATTTTCCATTATCTGTATTCAAGAGCTTCTCAATGATTCTACAAGATTTATCACTTTCAAGTAGTACAAGCCTAACAAATAAATCAATTCAAAATGACAGATGTTATCCATACACACATACAAAGTACCAGTGAAAAACTGTCATATTGAGAATATCAAAGCCACATGACAGAAGAGAATTAAAAAAGCAGAGATGTTATAAAATCATTAGTACACAAAATAATTAAAATGAAGTTGTAAAGGTAACTACCATGAACACTTTCTTGATTTCAGTCTAACTCCCAGAGGTTCAGTGCAGACAACTAAGGTGACCACGCCATGTGCTAGTAACAATGCCACAAAGCGTACAGGTCATTCTCAACAAGAGCCAACAAGACTACTGTGCTACAGCACTCAACAGATCAGATTTCAGAAAACTCTTTTGAGTAAACATATCAATTTCAATGTCCAGTAACTTGCTGTGCCTCAGGGACAGAAACACAACCTAGATTTATTTGAAAAGCTGAAAATACACTCCTCAAAGGGTAGCAAAACACCTTTCTGACCTGGCTGAAATACAAAACATCCATCTTAAAAACAGAAGTATTCATACCTACAGACAAAGCAAGTGGATAAGAAAACCAAGCAGTTATAAGAAACAAGCTTTTACTTTGTTCAAAAAGTCATCACAGGGAACAATAAGCTTCTTGCAACAGCGATTAAAAAAAACCCCAGGGCTTACCTTCCTCTTCCTTCTTTCCTCATCATCTAGATGCTTTTCTTTATCCTTCTCAGACTTTTTTTTCTTTTTTTTCTTCTTTTCTTTATGTCGTTCTCGCTCATGATCTGATCTGTCATCATAGTAACTAGAATCATGCCCTGACCCAGACAGTTCAGTCACTTCACTTCCTCCAACTTTAAGCACCAGCTTTAAAGGTTTTTCCAAAGGCTTATCCACATAATCTAAATTCAAAAAGCAAAACATTTCATAAATGCACATGGAGGTGACAGCATACAGCAATTACTGACCGTTCTTCTAAAAGTATGCAAGAATTTGCTGCAGTTTGAAAATACATGCAATACATCTGGAGAGAAAAACAACAGCCAAGATCACCACACTTTACCATCACGATTTTCCACAAGCCTGTAATATGTAAGGAACTAACTCTTCGCCTTTCCCTGAAAACATCACAAGATGCTCGTCAGAGTAAGGCGAAACCAAGCATCATTCAACCAGCGCAGTCACCGCCACCCGTTAACAGCCGCACGAAGCGCGAAGAGGGTTGGGCGCGCAACACACCGCCCCAGGGCCCGTTCCCCGCTGCTCCCCCACGCCCACCAAGCCCCATTCTGAGAAAAAGCAAGCACGGAGGACGAGAATCGCTGTTGCCCTGCATAGCGTTCCGGGCAGCGGTTACAACCAGCAAGAGAATTCCCGGCTAACAGCTTCTCTCTGGCGGGGAAGTGCAAACGTGCACGTTTTCGGCCGAAAACGCG